ACAACAATAGTTTGCGCGTGTTGAACTTGTTATTGATTTTGTGTTAGTTCGAGAAATGTTATATGACATTACGAGGTTTGTTATTCTGGGCTTTCTTATAGTGAGGTTTGAGTTCGTTTTCCATAAATTAACTATTTTACTTGCATTTCCTATTTTCTTTCCCTGTTATTATTATTATAACTGCGTATAGGTTATTGTAAATGGCCCACTTTAGCCTCGTTACTACTTCGTCGAGGTTAGGTTCGACACATAGAGAGTACATGGGATCGATTGTCCTTATACTACACGCTGCACTTCTCTTGCATATACCAGAGTTTGTCCCGGCAGTGTTCAGTAAGGTCGCCCAGATTTGACTACTAGCGGAGATTTGAGGTATATCTGCATGGCGTTCGTAGCCCTGATGTCCACTTCTATATCCTTTTAGCTGTTATCTTGATTTAGACACTTATGTTGTTTTTTTCCGACTATTATTTGTAGTACTCTAGACACTCATGTATTCGTGATACCAGTTTTAGAATTATATTTGGATTTTTTGTTTATTGTTTTTTACCTTATTTCAGACTATTCAGCTTTATTATGGTAAATTGATTTGTATTGTTAAAAATGGTTAATAGTTATATCTAACGTTGGCTGGTCTATCAAGTGAAATGTTAGGCTCAGTCCCGAGGGTGGAAATTTTGTGTTGTGACAAAAAATAACCAAGTAAGGCAACTAAAATACGTCAATCCTAATCGTGAATACATTATCTGATGCCTGGATTCAAGAATATAGTCAATTCAATCTTATATGCAATCTTTAGTTTCCACTTTCGAGTTCAACTATAAATTCGTAGATAGTATTCTACTGTTAGCTATGCAGTAAAATAATTGAGCGCAAGATTAGATAAAAATGTTAATATGATAGAATCGTATAATATCATCAACCGTCAATCAATAATAGTCAATAACAACCCATAACTATAGGACAAAGGGGTCTCTAGCCACTCATGTTCGTAGCAACAATCAAAATATTTTTTTTTAAAGTTAAAAGCTATGAGTACGAGATGGAGGATGGAAGAAACAATGAAATCCATGCTCTGTTGCGTTCCTAAGCCCTGCTTGCCTTAAAAAATCGTCCAACCTTTCACTAAGCATGTTTAAGAAGTATTTATAGGTTAGAGTCGGAGTCTCCAAGTCCAAAACCAAGCAGGAATGATTTAATTCACGTACTGGGGGAGTACTAGGCACCAAACCTCGCGAGGCCCAGTCTGTGGCACACTGGGAACCTCGCCTCACGAGCCTGAGCGCGAGATATTGGTCGCCAGGAGCCACGTCGCTTGATCTGGTGCATGGTTCCATGCTTCTTCCAGTTTTTGCCTTTTCGTACTCTTTTCTTATATTTACGACATCCTTGTGTGCTACTTTCACTCATCTTCATATTTCAGTGATTGTAGGATCATAAAAATTACTTAATTAAGCTCAAACGTCGCACATATTAACATTAAACATCAAAATGTAATTATGTAATGTACTAAAAAAATATATATTTATAGCCAAATACAACGGTGCTTTGTTTTTGCTTGGAGTAAGGTAAGTAGCTAGATTGGTTCTTCTATATAACGTTTGTTCCTCACCAATTACTACCATCAATACCATGAACAAAATGTTTCATTGGACAAGCATCATTTTCCCTTATAAATCACGTATCTATCTCTTTCTACTTAAATAGATTTTTTTAAGTATTGTAATTCATTAAGGATAAAAAATTTCTTATAAACGACTTTTCTTCACGTTTTTTCGCTTTGAGTAAGGTATTAGGTAGATTGGTTTTAAAGTTGTACCTCCCACTTAACTCCTCATGCTTAATAACATGAAAAAAGAATCTTAATAGACTACTTGACTTATCTCATGAATCATGCATCGTGTCCCATGTAATTCAAATCTGCATCTCTTTTTCTACCTTGAATATATAAAATATATTTATGAAGTTAAAGCTAAAAGAACATAAAAAATAAAGAGCAATTACCACTTTAAAATAACAGTAATAGTAAAACTAATTCATACTTTTGTGAGACTTGAGTAAGAATCTCTTAGTTGAAAGTCTCAAACTTGACTATAAGATGAATCCCTTATGGCAAGCCGTAAACTTTATCTTCCACATTATTAAAAGGAAAAATTTCTAAATTTACCCATAAAGTGTATTATTTAGAGTAGATTTATCCTTCCACAAAAAGTGGTTTATTCGTACCTTGTCGTTACACAAATGGCTCATATTTAACCTTTTTGGCTAACGCAAGTGAACTAGACAAATTAAAATTAGTTTTTTACTTAAAAATATTCTAATACATTCAGTTAAATCCCTCATATCTATCAAACACTAATTTTATCATCCTCTCTCACTTTTTAAAATTTTTAACGCATAGCCGCCCCCTCTTTCCCTTACTCCCTTCACTCTTCTTCCTTCCACTTTTCTCTTCATTTTCCCAGGGTAAATGAGGACCTCTTCCTCGTCTCAATTTAGTTCTCACAAACTTTCAACCACCGTCAAAATCAAAAAAAGGAGAGTTCATTGCCACAGCTTCACATCTTCATCACCCCATGAAGCCCTTTATCATAACTAAAAAAGGAGAGTTCCATCATTGAAAATATTTTCACCGACGACAACCTTGATTTTGTTGGTCACGACATAGAAATATAACTCCGATGGCTGATCATGAGATCGTGGTCTTTTTGACGTTGCTACCGATAGAAAAGGAGGAAAGGGAGGAGGGGTGGGTCTACTAGTTAGATTAAGAGTTAATTAAAATTCGAGGTGGCATTTAATTTAATTAACTTCGTTAGACGAAAAGGGTAAATCTGAACTATTTGTATAACGGCAGGGTACAAATAGGCTACTTTGTTTATGAAAGACAAATCCGCTCCCAATCGAATACTTTAGGGGAAAATTTAGACCTTTCCCTTTTTAAAAACTAGTCTTAGAATATGTGCTACTTAGTTTCTGTATACGTGCGAAATCCCTTCCCAAATATTCAAAAAATATCTTTAAATAATAAATTTTTCATAGGGTATATATTGCAAAAATATTTATACCGTTGTTGAAAATAACTTTCAACTACAAATCTGTTCAACATATCGATAGACCAAAATATATTAATAAACATCATGGTACAGTGTAGATTATACTACATTGAATAATTTTTTAAGTGTAATATTGAAAGACTTGCTTTAGTTTCTAATAGTATAAACCGATGTCTCTTATCGGATAAAACCAAAAGAATTGTGATGCCCATACAATTCCCTGCTCATGTTTACAATTTGTTTTGTGTGTGTAAACATTAGAACTTTTCACCCAAATATCTCATAACTCTTAATAAATTAAAGTACCCTTCCTGGATACTTTTCTTTTGGAGCTTCACAATTATAAGTTACTAATTATCTAATCTCTCCAAGCCTCTATTTAACATATAAACGTTTATCTCTCAACTAACAAACAATAGATGGCGTCCAATGATCCACTTTTCATCTTCCTGATTTTCATCAACTTCCTTATGCCTACTGTAAGCCTAATTATTTCTTGTTTTCAGTTAATTCGACAAATTAGAAAAAAATACATTGCTACTGGTTATCAGTAAAGGAAAAACTGAAGTAACTCCTTTTTGCCAACGCCAATGTAAAACGTAAGTAAGCTAAAGGGCAATTTCTTTTAAATTTTAGGCAAAATCTTTCTGTAAACAAACATTTAAGCTGTGGCCCTGGCATTGGAGCTAAAAATTGCACGGGGCGCCCTATTTGGTCGCCCCCATTTAACCTCTACCCATTATTTTAAAAAACTTTTAACTTGTACCCACCTTTTAAATAACTTCAGCCCCCTTTCTCCTCCTCCTTGCTTTGCAACTCTCTTGAATCATATACAGGAGAATCTCAGCTAAGCAGAAAATATATTGGAGCCATTACAACTGGATATCCTTCTAAATGGAACAGCAGGATTATTGAACTGATGATGTTGGTGTTGAGGTTCACAAGAAGTAACCTCCATTTTCACGTGGGGTGAGAGAGAAAATCCTAACCAGTTACTACTAGCATCATTATGACTATTACTATTATTATTATTATTATTGCTACTTCTGTGGCTGCTGCAATTGTTGTTATCATCAGTTCTTAGATTCAATGCTCAGAGCATCTTGAACATCAAGCTGATGGAAAACAACATTTGAAAAACCTTTTGTAATTCAGCAAGGATGTTGCTTCCACTCCCCTCTTCTCGTTTCTGGCTGTTAAGATAACCTTAATGCCTGATCTCGCGAGCTGCTTGACAATCTCAAAAGGAAGAAACCTGACCGATCGATCAATATGATCAACACTTGCTAATTAATTTTCTTTCAGTTTGGTCAAGATGGTGTGGCAAATGAAATTATAAACAAACAAAAAGTTCAGCTCTAGAGCTGAAGTTATTGTTTTTGTAACTGGCGAAGAGCTGAAGTTATTGTTCGGTAACTGGCGAACTTCAGCTCTAGAGCTGAAGTTTTTGTTTTGTAACTGGCGAACTTCAACTCTAGAGCTGAAGTTTTTGTTTGTTTATAATACAAATAGGCCCGTTAGTTTAGTGCTTTAGTATACAAATACTTGAATTCTACAACTAATGAATTGTTTTGACATTTTTTGGACATTATTGTTGAAGACATATTTAAATATGAAGGGTAAAAAGTCGGTAATATTTCGGAGATATTTTTGTCGTTCAACATTTAATGTGTAATATTCGTGCTTTTATAATAAATATAGGTAGATATAGATATAGATATAAATAGATAGATAAGTCAAATGATTAAAATTTTATGGTGAAGGACAACACTAACTTAGCAAGACCTAATTGTACACGTAATGAGCTGACATTAATCTTCCATCTCCACTAATAAAAACATGAGTTGTCATGGATCATGTTTAATACCAACTTTTCATGCAGCTAACTAGAACATAATATATTTAATAACAATAATAATAACTAAGAATACAATCTATATAAAACCTACAGTCTCTCAACTTTTTGTCACCACTTCCTTTTCAAAACGTTTCTTCTATATCAAAGAAGAAAATATGGGTGTAAAAGGCAAGTTGATTGCTTCAGTAGAGGTGAAGTGTGGAGGACACCCGATTCATGACATTTTACACACCAGTACTCATTATATATCTGATATAAGTCCTGGTAAGGTCCACAAAGTTGTAATTGATGAAGGTGAAACCATAAAAGTTGGTTCGATTGTTAGCTGGAAATATAGCGACGGTATGTAGTTGATATTTCTTCTCTCTATACATATATATTATTTACTTGTATAAATTTTCGCATTTGGGTGTATTTAGTATGTCAAGAAGCTTTTATTCAAAAAAATAGCTTTCGTGAAAACATTATTTGATGATGTTTTTGGTTACCATAAAATGTTTTACATCAAAAGGGGAAAATCTTGTTTACGAAATTCACTTTTCTAATAACTATCTTAATATTTAACTTCATATTACTTGCTCCAGCTAATACTTAGACATATTATTGATAATAGTCAAAAACTTCTTAACACTCTATTTGCTAATATTATTACTAGCATTCAATATAATATATACGTAAAATATTTTTCACTCACCAATTACCAAGTACTGAAAAAAATTTACCAAATATTTTTTTTAAAAGTATTTGTCAAAGAAAATTCCTTTTGTCATACCAAACACAATATAATCAATTTTAAGCTTTTTTCCCCTATTAATTCAATGTTTTCTAAAATGCCAAATGTTCTTTTGAGATTTTTAACGATAGTTCTATTCATGAAAAAATATAGCACGTCCAATCTCCGTGAGCTACAAATAAATTTAGGAGAAAATGAAAATTAAAAAAACGGGGAAAAAAAAAAAGAAGAGGAGAAAATATGTTATTCTGAATGTTTATATCTTTTATATGAGGAACTGGATAATTGAACATGGAGTAACATCTCGTGTATTTTCGAACTTTATTGATTATAGATGGAAATGATAAGATCTGTAAATCAGTTATCGAAGCCGCGGATTATCAGAAGAAATCAATCACTTGGAAAGTGATTGGAGGAGATCTGTTAGAGTTGTACAATTTCTTCACTATTACCACATCCCATGACCAACAATGGACTACATGGACACTTGAGTACCAGAAGAAAACTGAAGACACCCCAGAGCCTCTCGTTTTCTTGGGTTATCTTCTACATGTGACCAAAGATATAGAGAGTCACCTTCTCAAGTAATATATATATATATATGTGTGTGTGTTGTGTGTGTTTGTGTATGTATGTATGTATGCATGTATGTTAATACACACATATACATATCTTTGTGTGTGTAATGAGTATTTGGCAATATTAGCTAGTTCTAGCTAGCTCTGTGTGAAATAAAGAATGTTTTGTTTGAAGAATATATTATATATGCACTCTCCTTGTATTGATGTATTTCCGATGGTGAATATATATAAGATATTATGAATTTTGCAAGCGTGATCTTTACCTATAACAAAGAGGATATATTTATCAGGGTGCTATTCTCATTCTTTTTCAGCCATTTTTTTTGGGTTTATCTAGTAGTTGTATGCAGGGTGGCAATTTGAGCCGAAACTCATCCAACCCGCTCAATTCGTCTAGAGATTAATGGTTTCGGCTACAAACATTTTAGCTCATGGATCTATTTGGGCTGAGCCCAAGTTAACCCATTATCTTTTATAGCTCATTCTGACCCATTAAGCAGCCCAAATACAACTCATGAAACTCACCTAAAATAAAGGCATCTCAACCCAACTTTCTTGAAAGTTATTTAGTTGCCCCAATTTTACTTCTTTTTTTTTTTTGTATTTTTAATTTTCAGTTTTCTGCTTTTTCGTTTTTCTGCACCACCCACCCACCCCAACCCCACCCGCAAAATATTTTTCAACTTTCACGTTTTAGGTAAAAGACTTTTTATGTAAGATGAGTATGATTATAAAACAAGGGTCAAGTTGGGTGGGTTGGGCTATAACCCATTGTTTAGCCCATCTTGACCCAGCCCATATTAGCCCAAGTACACTTTGGGCTAGGTTGGGCAATGACTCATTTATTGACCTAACCCATCTTTGACCCGCCCAAATTCAGCCCAACCCGCCCATTTGCCACCCCTAGACTTACAAACAGTTCCTACTGCAGTATTGATTAAGAGCCACTCAAATTGTGTTTTGTACAATTTAGTTGTTAGCTATACTTTAGTGAAAATGCATATGAAACTAACTCAAATAAGAGCAGAAACTAAACCTGAAAATTTTCAATAAACAGAGAACTAAACTGCACCACTATTTTCAATCTACGGAGTGAGAGATGCGCATTTTCTAAGGTCCTTCACGAGGGTTTCTTGATTGTCCTGTCTTTAGAGATGCTTGTGAATGTGGCTGAGATGTGTGCTCAAGCGCTCGGCGTAGTGGTGGATTAGGTATAAAGGATGACGTCACTGCAAAATTGTCACGTATTCCTCCGACAGGGCTGGAAAGTTCATTTACATATAAGGCAAAATTCATTTTGTGCTTCTATGTATAATATTTTGAACCACCTTAGCGGGAATCCTTTCTTCCACTACCACTGCCTCCGACATTGCCACGTCCATGGCTCTTCCCACCTCACCTTTAACTCGTCCAAATCCTGTCATTTCAAATTTTACCGAGAGTATGGATGAATGCTCAATTCCAAATCCTTTCCGATAGCAGCCAAGGAGAATCTCGAATTTGGATTCCAAATTAATGCTGTAACATCACATAAAAATATAAATATAGATTCACATTTTAGAATAACCCGCGCATGGTCGCAAGAACTATCGAAAGAATTAAAGAGTAATGAAAATTATAGATAGTATGCCACCTGCACACGATAAATGCAGATTTAGTGGTTCTAGTGAAGCAAGATAAGATTACCAAGACATTATTTTGGCTGTTACATCCACTGAGAATCATAACAGAGCATGTGGAAACCGTGAAGAACATCATTTTTCAGTCTCTAAGTATTAATTAGAACGACGAAGCAACTAACCGATATATGTCTGAAGTTGTAGGCTTTTCTTCAATTCAAAACCTATTGATAAATTTTCATCTTATGATTTGTATGGCGTTTGACCAGTGAAGAAGTAACTTGTTTTCTATTAGAATGAGACCGTTGAACACAAATGGTTCATTTGTATTCAATGCACAACGAGTATCCACTCTTTTGAAACCATATTTGTGAAACGATATCTTTTCCTAAGTGAGCCACATCCCACCAATGACATTGAAGAGATAAACTTTCGTATTTCCCACATTGAACAACTCGTACATGTCCTCTAATACGACATAATACTCCATAGAGTCTGAATCATCTCTTCTCACAAGAACTCCACTAGCTGCATTATTGCGACTCAAGATTTTGTCTGGAATCTGAGTTCATTCGCCACTAAAGATCTAAATCTTATGCACAACAGGGAAGAAGAAGTTCACACTGAATTCATCTGGCTTTTCTTATAACAACTAGAGCAGCATGAAAAAAGTTAACTGGCAATAATATAAATAACAAAGCAATAGTACCATAAAAGAGTTAACTTTGATGGTAAACTGATCACGTGGCAACCTCATGCATCTTTGTATCACAAAGTGGTGAAGCTATAATGGATCACGAGGAGAAAAGGAGCGCGTCACATCGTTAAATTATGAGGCTGGAAAATAAAGGGGAAAAAATTTATCTCAATATCGACCAACCAAATGAAGAAGCATCTAATAATGTTGATATATGAAGGTTCCATCTGTATATATGGTTGTTTATTTCTACTATACTTGATCGTAAAGATCTATATGCTTTAAGTTGGGGTATATAAAGAGATTTGTATAGAGAATGTCATGTTCTCGCAGTGAATTGTTAGTAAGGAATGTCTTGATTCTACGTATGGATGAATCTTTCATTTTTTTGGGGTATGATAATAGGTGAATTTGACTATAATCACGCACCAAATAATCACCTTCTTGTGAACTTTTAATGTGGAAAAATGACAACAAAATGCTCTTATTAGTGCTTTTCATGATTTGCAGGTGATATAGGTGTAAGGAAGGCTAAGGAGCGGTTTTGGAGTCAACTATTGATGAAAAAAGCCAATTGTTGAATTTTCCAAGTATCCCATTCAAAACAGGCCAAAATTTCCGGGTACAAGTTCCACCGCGGTTCTACCGCGACCGCGGTGAAACCGCGGTGGAAGACAGTTTCTGAAAGTTGAAGATTCCGCGAGGGCGTTTGGCCGCGGTTCTACCGCGACCGCGGTAGAACCGCGGTGGGCACAGTAAACTTCAGGGACTTAAGTGTAAAACACGGGATTTTTAGACCTAAACCCTATTTAAAACACTAGACTTCGCCCAAGAGAGGCATGTATTGATTTTTTAGGTTTCTTAGCAAGGAATACAATTGGGAGCAAGTACTCTAAACATCTTTCTTCCTTTCTTTTGATTTTTATGATGAATTCAAGTGTAGTTTATTCTCCCATATCTATGAGTAGCTAAATTCCTTGTCTAAGGCTTTGATGGAACCTATTGGGTGATGAACTTCTTGTTTATGTGAATACAAATTGCTAGTTTAATCTTTATTTGTTCAACTTCGTGTTCGTTGTAGTTAATTGACAGGATCCTCAATTAGCTGTACCTATTTAGTGTGCATAACTTGGAAAAGAGTGCATATTTAGGGTATTGTTGAACAACACCACTCCTAGATTATTAGAGGAATCTATAATTGCGGGTTTAAAGGCGGGATTAGGAATAACGAAGTCTTGGGTGCAATCTAAATTGAATTGGGATTAAATAAAGCAAGTTAGTGTATCTCGGGAGAGTGCAATAGTAGATTACTGTGATTACTCGGGAGAGATTTGCGGTAAGATTAGCGTTCATGATTGATAGAGATGTGTGGGTAAATTTGTATGAGCACAAACAGAAGGGATTCCATCAATAGGGGAAATCATTGCCTTAGCTTTTCCTCATAATTGTTTACAACCTTATTAATTTAGTTACAGCCATTTAGTTACTTGCAAGCTAGTTGTTAAAGAACACTCAACTGAGAATTTGAATGTTTGAGAAGCTGGTGCTGAATACTTGGTGGGTTTGAAGATAGCGGTTGATAGGTTAACTCTCTGTGGATTCGACCCTGGGCGTAATACTCGGGTTATATTTGCAACGTCCACAGAGTTCTTTTCTAGAAGGCATAGTTGGGCGTGATCAGGGTCCTTAGATTTGGAATTCCATAAGTGGAACATCAGCTTTAAGCAAGGACCACATATTCGACAGATAGCATAAGCTCAGCAAACACATATACATATTAATCAAATATTGCCAGGATATTGTGGAAGAAGACACCTTGTTGGATTTTGCATTTGTTACTGCTCATATTTGATTTACCAGAATAATAAGTAGGTTTAGTAGAAGGAGGAGTCTTTGTTTAAATTTGAATTAATAGGATAAGTTAGTTGAGATAGTTTAGGTTTTTGATGATTTTTTGCAGATTCTGTTTTTAAATTGGCTATTTAAAGCCCTCTTGGTTAATAAAATTATTGAGAGACATTTTTCAATCAATACTTTAAATCCTTTTACTACCCTATCTTTTAAAAAACCAACAGTGGTATCAGAGCTTCATTGGTCTTACGGTATCTATGAGTTCTTCCAAAGAACCATTTTCAAATCATTTTTAACCAATATCAATTTTTAAACCCATTTTCAAACATGGCAAGCAGCGGTCTCTCTTTGAATGCCCCACAAACTTTCACTAGCGGTTACTATCGAATTTGCTCAGTGAAAATAAAATCATATCTTAAAACCTATGATTTGTTGAATGTTGTAAAGGAAGAACAATGCTTACCAACAATCTCTGAAAATCCTATCATTGTCCAGAATCAAATACTTTCAAAAGAGATTTTAGATAAGACAAGGTCACTAAGGGTGTTCTTCATGCACAGAACCATAAGACGAAAAAGAAAGAAGAAAAAAAGAAAAAGAACTGCACTACAAAAGTGTGCAATTTCAGCGATGCTCAAAACAATCCTCAAGGACAAACAACCGAAGCAAGAATTGAGGAGGAGCAACTTTTTTAATTACAGCAACTGAAGCAAAGGAGGAGTGTTGAAATTTTGTTGCTTTCAGTTACTGCAATAACTTTTTTAGCATAATAAGTTACTTAGTTTTATGATAAATTTATTTTTTTGATTTTAAATTTCGGTTAGATTTTTTAGGTTTATTGAGATTTTGGGATTTTTAAATTCCTCTTATGCAGATTTTTTCTGCAGATTATGTTCCTAATTGGCTATTTAAAGCCCTCTTGGTTAATTAAAATTATTGAGAGACATTTTTCAATCAATACTTTAAATCCTTTTGCTGCCCCATCTTTTAAAAAACCAACACACCCAAAATTCAGGATCGAAGTGATCGGTGTTAAATTGTGTTAAATTATCACAGCCCAAATTATAACAAGTATATATTGTC